CTGACCGTCAGCGCATGTGACTGACCGTCAGCGCATGTGACTGACCGTCAGCGCAGTGACTGACCGTCAGCGCATGTGACTGACCGTCAGCGCATGTGACTGACCGTCAGCGCACGTGACTGACCGTCAGCGCGTGACGACCGTCAGCGCATGTGACTGACCGTCAGGCATGTGACTGACCGTCAGCGCACGTGACTGACCGTCGGCGTTTGTGTTCACCCCGCGGCCGTAAGCCTCAGCACTAACGATCCGCCCCGGCCGCAGGGACACCGAGCGGCGGCCGACGGCCGCTCCCCCACCGGCGAGTGACGCCGCCGATCCGCCGCCGCCCTACCCGTCGTCGCCGCCCGCCGCCGAGGCGCCGCCACCCTCCTACCAGGACGCCTGCACCGTCATCTACTGCTGAGCGACGGCGGCGGCGCAGGCGGTGGCCTACGCCGCCGTGGACGGCCAGGCACCAATGCGGGGGCTTTTTAAGGATCTCGCAAAACCGACGATCTCAGAGAACGTTTTGTCGAAGGGTTATCTGGGCGCTGTAATCGTTGTAAAAATATCCAGCCATGTCTGTTTAAACACATATACCATCGCGCTGTGAGCGGCACAGGCCGCAGCAACGCGGGTAAGGGGATGCACGTGCTGTCAAACCACTGCTGAGCACCAGGTCTTCCTTTCACCTCCACGGAGAGGCAATGTACCCGGACTGAAGCAGCACCGCCATCCAATGGCGCAGGGGTCTGGTCTTCACGTTGTGATGTGTGCCAATGATCAACGCCCAGAAGACGTCACCTGTTTTCACCCTGCGATGAGTCGCTGCGGTGGTCTTTATGTACGTGAGCACAGCATTTGGATAGCAACACTTCATTTCTGCCCAGACAGCAGTACTGTGGATGGTCCACCTTACGTTTACACAACTAGTTATTTTGTGCAAACAGGCAGCAAAAAATTATTGGTAGTGGCAGGGGCTGAGCGCAGATAAACCTCAATTCCAAGATGTGACAAAGCGCAGAAGTGCAGTTCCCCGCTCATCTGAAGTGTCATTACAGAACAGGATGCTAACTGCTCCCCTTCGTGCTTCCTTTCCGGCGTTCGGCACGCGCCTGCTGAAACCGGACGGCTGGCGGACTGAAGCGCCGTGATGTTCAGACACTGCTAACGATACTGAGTGACCCCTTCTACGGGCCAGGCCCCAGTAGTGGCAAGTACGATCTGCCGTCAAGCTCCTCGCGTGAATCTGGAGCTCCGCGTGCATCACCATTCCGCCTAGCCAACCACAAACAGCGGTATGACTGTTGAGAGGACACCACTGCACTATCGCGACATATTCCTCTCTAAGTGTTTTACAAGAGCTTGCGGGCTTGCTTCGCTGAGTGACGGAGCTGACTCGCTGAAAGCGCACGGAAAGTCTGTGTCGTTCTACGAACGACTTGTGCTTGCCATTTGATATCGTGATGCGCTCAAACATCATTCCTAGGATTTTCAGTAATCCTGTTGCCAGAAATTGTTACATAATATCAGTATGAAATCTGCTGAGTGGTTTCAGGTGAACTGTGTGGCCTGTGGTGTAAAATGTCGGATGTGCGAGCTAAATGTTGGCGGGTCTCAGCCATTTTTACAACTTCTTTCACTTTTCACGCTGGGGTTCCTCCAAAACAATTAACCCGCCTTCCCAGAAGCCCAATAAAAACTTTTCCCACAGCCACTTGCAAGGCGAGGGCTTCCAGGCAGACCGGATACCCAGAAGGCCAGTGAGGGTGATAGCGCCAGCCAGCGCAGAGCAAACGACTAACAGTCAGGCAGGGTTGACAGCCGGCTAGCCTGCTGCCACCGCCGTCGGTCCGCCGCCCCGACCCCGACCCGCAGCGCTGACCTGGAGGCTGGAGCGACCCCCCCCCCGCGTTCAGTGACTGTGTGAGGGGTGACTGACCTGCCGGACGGTGGCGCCGCCAGCCGCCCCCCCCCCCCCGCTCAGTGACTGTGTGAGGGGTGACTGACCTGTCGGGGTGGCGCCGCCAGCCGCCAGCTCAGCCGCCGCCGCCTCCCACGCGTCGAGCACCTGGCTGTCGACGCCGGGGCAGTGGTACTCGCGCGGCACGCCCACCACCAGGCCGCGCGCCGAGCACCGCTCCGCAAGCGCCACCGGCGTCCGCGCCTCCGCCACGCACGTCGAGTCGAGCGCGTCCGGCGCCGACAGCAGGTCTGCGGCGGGGGCGAGACGTGAGGACGAGAGGGGCTGAGGATGGGTGGACAGTGGGCATGCCGAGCCGACAAAGAGATCTTTGGAGATGGGACGTTCCCAGACATAGCTGACGGTGTCGACGGGATGGAACGATGTCGTCGCTCCTAAACATCGGCGGCATTGCGAACGATAAGGTAGAGGAGATTGGCGTCACGCTCTCCGACGAGGCGTGAGGTGAATGTCGACGTGTTTGAGAAACGGGTGCACGGGCGATCAACACTAGGCAGCCGGGTGCCAGAACGCAATATGGGTATCTGGAGCAGATAGCCACTTTTTAACGACTTATCCATAGATATTATGTATCTTGAAAACCAGACACCAGTCGAGCAGCCATAGCAACATTCATAAACACAAAGCAACAGTCACAAAAATCAGTAAACCTCAGTAAGCTGAGCACACCAAAGAACATGAAAGAACGTCTGCAACATGTCCCCGAACGCACCGCCGCCAGGTTGCCCCCACGTCCCCGCCGTGTACCGGCGCGTTTCGGCGCCCCAGCTAGCCCAGCCCGGCCGGCCGACCGACCACTCACCGAAGACGAGCGCCGCGTCTGCCACGGTGCGGGCGAGCAGGCCGGCGCGTCCATCGAGTGTACGAGCGGCACCAGGCCGTGGCGCGACAGCAGGCCGTAGGAGGGCTTCAGGCCCACCAGGCCACAGCTGGCCGCCGGGGTTTCGTACCGAACCGCCAGTGTCCGAGCCTAGCGCGCTGTCGGCGGAGAGGCGGCGTCAGGGCGCGACGGGGCGGGACGGAACGCGGCGGACGCGGCGGACGCGGCGGGACGCGGCGGGACGCGGCGGGACGCGGCGGGACGCGGCGGGACGCGGCGGGACGCGGCGGGACGCGGCGGGACGCGGCGGGACGCGGTGAGAAGCGGCGGGACGCGGTGAGAAGCGGCAGGACGCGGTGGGACGTGGCGGGACGCAAGGGGGACGCGACGGGACGCGACGGGATGCGACGGGATGCGACGGGACGCGGCGGGACGCGGCGGGACGCGGCGGGACGCGGCGGGACGCGGCTGGACGCGGTGGGACGCGGTGAACGCGGCGGGACGCGGCGAGAAGCGGCAGGACGCGGTGGGACGTGGCGGACGCGACGGGACGCGACAGGACGCGACGGGGGCGGGGGCGGGGAACGACAGGACGCGGCGGGGAAACGGCGAGGAACAGCGGGACGCGGACGGGATGCGTATCGGTGTCGACGGTGAAGCCGCTGCTGAGAGGGTAGTGTCGGATATCACACCAGTTAACGGCAGAATCCGAGAGTCCGGAGTCAGGCCGCTCGGCCCGGCCCCGAACTGTCTGCCCGATGGAACGGCGAGATAGCTCCTCGGTTAGTTCCAGGGTGCAGAGGAAAACAACAGAAGTATAAATGGCTCAGAACTCGGACCAAAGTACGTCTTCAAGGGACATGCTCACATGGAGAAAAATTTCGCAAACTCCGGGTTGTATGCTGTAAACAAGCACTTCGTGCTGTAGCCAAACTTGCTGCTAAAGGACTGTAAAGGAAAGGTTCACCTGGCCGACAATACATTACACAAAGCTTGATCCCGATGCAACAGAGACGGCGCTGCCACCTGAGCTCCCGCCAGGGATATAGAAGTCTTCGTCGCTGTCCCTAGGTGGCACTGGAGGATCTGTCGCAGGCTCCCTGCAACGGGATCGAAACCTTGTTCGAAACGGATAAGCGAACACGATTACGGCTGCGAAAAAGCTGTTTCAATGGTGGAGAGATACGCATGAAAGGTATTAGTTACAAGGTAGATAGCATTCACTATAGCATATAGCTATAACTTTTGATACAGCATTCAAGTATGTACTGAGACGGTTTGCTTTTATTCTTTCTCGAGTTGAATGAAGACAGGTACAGCGTGTTGGGAATTTTAAGTAGGTTGCCGACGAAATCGGTAAATATCCGTCCCAAGGTCATCAGAGGACAACTAGCAGTGGCACTCACCCATACTTATAGCGTAGCTTGTACTTCACGTTTGATCCCCAGACGTTCTTCGTGGGTCCGAAGAAGCTGTCTACCGTTCCCACGCTGAAACAAGACCGCGACAGTGTCAGTCATCAGAGGAAAGGAGCGCAACGCCGTTATTGGGGTTTGAAGTGATTTACCCCCGTGACACGGTATTTGCTGGCACTTAAAAAAGGAGCATCCAACGCAGGGCGCCGCGTGGTTGCAGGTGCTCCGCTGTCTTTGACGGAGGTGATGTTTGGAATCGAAACATTCCTTAACAGCTGCGTCTTCGCCCATATCTTGGAAAAATACGCTGCTGTTTTAGAGTTGATGTCATTCTGAGGACATTTGGATAACCACCCACGTAATACATAGAACACAGCACGCGTAGAAACCAGGTTACACAAACTAAAACAGAAATAAGTAACCGTGCAATCACGTCTTTGTGAGAAAGGAAGGCGTGTGCTCACGCCCTCACCCAACTACCCTCTTCCAAAACATAACGACAAACGTCGCATTTCTTCCGCCTCACTGCCCGTCCTCCCTGGGTCGTCGCTTCGCCGCCCGTCTTCTTCCGGGCCGCCGCTCCACTGCCCGTCCTCTCCAGGCCAATGCTCACCCCATGCCGAACTCGTCCAGGTTGGTTTTGCCGATGAGGCAGGCGCCCCGCTCGCAGCAGGCGTCGCACCACGCTGGCCGTGTATGGCGGCCGGAACTCGGCCAGCATGCGCGAGCCGCACGTGGTGGGCGCGCCGCGCACGCAGAGAGTTGTCCTTGACCGACACCGGCACGCCATCCAGTGGCCCCCAGCGGTTGACCTGCGTGGTCGGGGTCACGCGGCGCGGGTCAGCCTCTGGGTCACCGAACGTCGACGAGGCGTGGTCAGATCATGATACAACTGTTGACACCTGTCACTGCCCTAGGCGGGAAGACAGCAGTTGTACGAGCTTTCGGCATCTCGTATTTTACCCTGCTAGCTGCGAGTGATGATGTATTCGAGGCAAGCGGGTGACCCACCTTGGCGTCTCCGTTCATCTGACTGTTGCGCTTGCTCTCTGGCCAGGTCGGCAGTGATCGTGACGAACGCGTTCAGATCCTTGGTCTGGTGAGCCCTCGCTAGGCAGTTCTCTACCAGCTCAGATGCAGTGACTTCACCGCTCTGAAGCCGTCGGCTGATCTGGGCACAGTACATCACTGCTTGGGATCTAGAGCAGCAAAACTGCTACTCTGCTTAGCACTTCCTCCACAGAATAAACATTACTTTTGGCATCATCGTGCATGCGTTATTGGGGCTTTAAGACACACTCAGCTGCTGAGGCTACATGGCGCCGCCTGCCTCTCACCCTGGCAAGAAGGGCGGGCGCCGCGGGGAACCGAACCCTGTACCTCTGGTTTCCCAGATGTGCAGTGGTCAACACAGACGTGTTAACCACTACACTACCGGCACCCTTTTTGGCATCATCAAATCGAGGCTTTGGCTTGATTCCATAAAAATGTGTTGTTACAGATACATGCAACCAGACACAGCATTGAACAGAGGAAAAGTAGGGCTTACAAACTAGAGCAGAACTAGGACAGAATAACTGAGCAGTCAGCACTTCAGCTTCAGTGTCACATAATGCACTGGCTGCATTGGCAACAACCAATGCATGTATCCAGAGATGTTGAGTCCATGTACACATTTAAGCTTAAAGCAATGAGCACAAGTGTAGGGGGCAGGGGGCAGGGGGGACAGTGGCAGCCTCAGAATTGGTACAGCTTGGCATTTTGCGCCAGACCCTTGAAGATGAGCCTGGCATCACCTAAATATTTACCCCAACCCACACAACTGACCCGCACCAGTCATGCCATGGGACTCTCCAGGGTATAGCTAACCTTATCATTGTTATCCAAGGATATTGCCATCTGATCAAAGAAACACATATGGTTATCTATGGCCCTGAATGTTTTCATCTGGAAAAGTTGAACATCCATGGTATGATAACATATGAAACAATATGAAAAAACAAAACACTTGAGATCACCAGGTGAACTTGGAGTGACTTACTAGCACCTTTAAAAATGTCCAAAGTGCTTGTGATTGGACACTACACAAGCTGTTTTTACATATCAGAACCATGCCACCCAGTGAGCATGAGTTAGTGATAAGTTAGGTCCAATTGAGGTCAATTTCCAGGTCGAGTTTAGTCAAGAAAAGGCCTGGCATTACAAAAATTATGTTAAAATTAATTTGTAGATTAGGTTGGCTACACTGGTGCCTGCTGCAAATGTGTGGCATCATATCTTGGGTCTGACACATGTGAGCTGAAACTCACATGTCCAATTTTGGCTCCTGGGTATGATGACAGTCATGGGTACTGCCTTCTAAAGAAGGATTTTCCCCTTTCAATATTTTTTAAATTGATATGGCCCTCCAATAATTGCATGTCAATCCCCTATGTCACATATCATCATTTGTACATGGCAAATCGTTTATCTCTTTGATCCTCACATGCCACTATGCTGTATCATGTAGTACCCTTCCAAAAAAAATAGAACAATAAAAATCTAAGTAATATAGACAGTGGCACCATGAATGAGAACATACCTTACCTGCTTAATGCTACTTGACAGCATTGCAAAAACAGTGAGCTCAAAATTACTTTCAACTGGAACCCCTGAAAATTAGACCCTGTATGTTATACACCAATATGGGGCATTTCTACTGTGTTGTTCTTTAACATTTGCATGTGGCATAAAGAACATTATGTGGGTAACTATGGGTATTGAGGATGAATGCAAGTAAATTAAATAAACTGCTCGACTTTACAGGGCACAAGGCCGTGTAGAGGGCAAAAACTAAACGGACAAAACGGGATGGAAACACAGCAAGCCACGGTTGTGGACAACTTTGCTGACAAACAAACCGCTCACAGGCCGCTCAAATGAAGCTTCGAAGCGGAGCTACTGGAAAGTGGGCACAAAACGTAGAAAATCGGGTTTTCAAAAGAAGACGAGCTGGAAGACATCGCAGACACCTTTTTAAGTATAGCCCCCGCCACCTAACCTCGAACCTTTTCACTACAGGGCCCTGGTATTGGGTCGCATTGGTACGGACCGGTTTTTAATTGACACAAACGCGTCAAGTAACGCAAAAGTACTTCCATATCACAGATAATTATCCATATGGAAGCCACTTTTCTGGTTTCTTCTCCAAGGGTTTCACGCTAAAGGGCCCGTCGTCAATTTTAGCTCTCGTCATGTTCACGGGTTATGTGACCTTGTCAACTTGACAAGCTGTGCGACCTTCTACAGCTCTGGGGGGAGGGTGGGGGCCGGTGCAGATTCACTCGCCGAATCCACATCCGACACTTTGAAACAAAATTCAAAAAACGGATCGGCAAGCAGAGTGTAGTCACCAAGATCAGGTGGGTTCCGGAGTCTGGACCTGAGCAACTTTCAAGCAGAATGGCTTACTTTATGTTCCGTCCGTATGCAAAAGCGTGGAAGCAGATTGGGATCCAGCGGCTTTAACTGTGCTGCTACGCTCCTATTAGTAACCGCGTACGTGATACGCAGCTTAATCGAGTGGACTTGTCGGTCCGTTTGCTTAATTGCTTACAACGTCGGCCTTCCGATTCAAGGCCCCACGGCGGGGAGGGTTCGAGTCGCTTTAGACGCGCGCTACTCTCGCCTGGCTGGAATGGGATGCACCTGTTAGAAGCAGCCTCACTTAAGGTCGTATGACGTCAGATGACAAAGCAGACTGTGGGGATGGTAAGCATTGCAGCACGTTACGTTTTCTCCAAAAAATTGTTCGCCGTTGACACGGAGTATGGCCCGAAGCTCACGCAACAAACCCCCATAAGTGTGGATGCTGATCTCACAAATTCATGCAATCGAAATGAAACTAAATCTCTAAAAAGAATACAGCAATAGGCATGGTATACCGCAGTGTTGACCCAACAGCTGATATCATACAAAGACATGCAGCATAGATAAGACAGTACTCATAGTCTTATTTCTCGGAGAAAAACTGGAAGAATGGCGACATAGATGGGCTGGTATGTCGGCAACATGCCGTGATTGAAACAATAGCAGAAACAATGACTTCTGCTATTGTTTCGATAAAGGCATGTTGCCGAAAGATCAACCAATCTATATTTCCATTCTCTTGGATTTCTCCGCGGAAAAAGGCTGTTAGTACCGTCTTATAATGTTCCTCGCAAATGCACTAAGCAACTTAGGTAGAGACATGCAAACGTTTTTGCGTTTGCAGTTAGTTTTGCGCATGTGGGTAGAGCAGAAATATTCGCAAAGCAACTGACTAGTCAACATGGGCCATCGATTTGCATTCTTTTGTGCCCCTCCCCCCTGTTGAGTTGCCCCCATGTTGGCTTGACCCCCCATGTTTTTGGCTGGAAATACAAAGTCTTAAAAAAGTTGGCCGCCACACAAGACGTGCCTTTCATCCTTCCTCGCGGTGACGTTGCCATGGAGGATGCAGCAGCGCAACTGACTCCTCAATCTCAAACTTATTTCCTCGAATGTATGGAGGCATTGGGAAAAGCCATTCTATATTTGACCTTGGTTTTTTGTCTGTCTTTGAGGCGTAAGCCTGGGGACATTTTCCTCGCAGCCCAGACATGATATTGACGCCGATCACCGGTCTTCTGGAGGCTCTTTGATGCCAAGCGGCATTGGGTCTTCTACCCAGGAGGGCTATGAACCTAACGTTGTTTTACTTCAGTTGAGACCTGAGTTGTTTTGTTGTAAGGCCTCATAAGAAAACAAAATCGGGTAAGATAATTTGGTTTTTGGCCTGCCATAGTTTGTTCATATCATAGATTCCGGTCAGCTGCAAATTAAGAGAAATCCAGAAAGCCAAAACTTTGCTGGCACAGACGTTTAAGCTGATTCCGTGCTGGCTTTAATTTTCTGTTAATTTACACGAAACTCATCATCTCATTGTTGCAATGAATGCTCACACATTTATTTTGTCACGGCTCCTCAATCAAAAAGCCAAAAGGACCTTACCGTGCCATGCAACCACACGACTGTCGGCCGCCCTGTAACCAGGCTGACACCATGAAACCAACGGAAAAATGGCCTTCTTTGATGAACCCATACACGAACACTTTTTCTGAAAGGCGACCCCAGCACCACGCATTCGCCACATTACGGATATGGGCAGCGTGACGTCAGCGCCCAACCAAAGGGGGCTTCCGCCGCGACGATTGACTGCCAGTACGGCAATACAAGTTCTCTTTACGAGCATCTTGCGCATGACGACCGACAGCTTCGTTGGAAAGGGATGTCTGTTAACTGTCCCTTCACTTATTTGCTCGCCGGAAGATATCGTCTGTAGACTCGAACTTAGCCACGACAAGTAGAACTCGGTAAATGCATGACGTCATTAATTAGAACATTAGTATTGTTTCTGCATCCCTTACGCATTTCGGGGCGACATTACGAGAATGTTCGAAATTCATCTAGAATCCCTTGGTCAATGCGCTAAAATATTAAGCCACGTTCTTTTACCAATTTAGGGAGCTCAGCGATCTGAGAATAAGTCAAACTTTTGGGCTGCAAGGGAGAGGTGTATCGCCGCGTGCAACAGAAAACGATACCATCAAGTAATGCACAATCTTACACATTCAAGTCAAGCTGAATTCGTAGGCCGGTGATGGATCACTTTGTTATGCTGGTGAACAACCAAACACATGAAATTAACATGGCTTATATAATATGACGCACATCCATTAAACAAAAGCTTACGCGTACCCCAGGCGTACAACAATTAGGTAAGAACCACATGCATTGGGCGGTCCTATGAATAGCACATGCGTTTTCTACACCACAGTTACAAAAACTCGCTGTTGTTTTTATGGCGTACCTTTATGCATCTAATTACAGCCGCTTGTTCTCAGCCTCAAGCCCATACAAGCATTGGTCGAGGTGAATTGTTCATTATGAGTTGCTGAGCATAATTAAGTAGCTATTGTTGAGTATTGTAGGACGCAATTGAGTATTGTTGAGTATTGCTGATCATGTTATGTTGTTGGTTATCACTGCTGATGTCGTGATATAGTTAAACTGAAAAAGGCAATGTACCATCAAATTCAGGCCAAAATTACATAATATGACACAGGCCAACATGTAAAAACCAAGACACGTGCATGGAAAAGTGCTCCGAATTTGTGCAAGCACTGCGATTAAACTTACATAATAATGATAATAAATCCATCTAGCTACTATACCATGCACGACACAAGGCATTACGCTAAGGACGCACGAAATTAGCGGCTAAACTGAAAAAGTTACGATGGCCCACACAGAGCATGAGGCCAGAAATTGCTTACGAATAGCTGACATCACGAATCTTGCAAAAACATCACGAACATCCCGGTTAATCAGGCTCCTACGTATCAATACACTATGCACCATGCTGTCCTATGGGCTGCCCGAAACACGGGCGGCTGGTAGAAATGCCTCGTCCGACTCGGCCAGAAATGGCCGTTCCCGAGTACAGGGATAGACAGAAACTTGTCAGCGTGCGTTATTGTCCATTAGCTGAATAATAGTACCCGTACTAAGAACAGATATATATTTCTACACGCTTGTTTTGCTTGCCACGCTTGCTGATGTTTGCTTCTATGTCTTTAAATGCGGAACATTCCCTTTAAACATCACGTACTTATCCAAAATGTTTCCGGAATGGTATATGCTCAAAAGATCTCAGCATGCTACCAAACAAAACAAAAAAAATCAGATCTCGTGGACATTTATATGCAGAAGGCAATTCCTTCGAAACGATATGCAAAATGGCAAGCTTCTAAGAGGATACTCCATCTCCAACGCGGCAGCTGTGACATTGCGATTCCCTGCAACAGCAGCCACCTGCTGCGGGGTCGCAGTCAATGCATTTTCGAACACCAAAGCAGCATTGGGTACCCACTCGTGATCGTGTGAGTAGCCCTGAGAGAACGCTCGGTCGGGATTTCATAAAGTATCTGTTCATGTAGTCAACTGATGATGCTGATGAGATGATGATGATGATGATAGTTGCTGCCACATTATCGCAAGATGTGTGACATGTTGTCTGAGGCCCACCATCAGAGACAACGAGCCTCCGTGGCGAGCACTATCTCTGCTTGTGCGTGGTTTAAAACCGAGTGCCAATTTAAGCTTGAGTTGCACTTAGGGGTAGGTTTGGGAAACGCTGTAGGATGAATCATAACTGACTCATTCATCAGGCAAACCTGTGAAAGAACACCTTGCAAACAAGCAGACACAAATGTCAGGATGTTACGGCGTTGCTGTCAGCTTAGTACGTGTTATCAGGATATTACTGCGAAGCCGTGGCGACCGGCTCGGTACCTGTATCAAAGAAATAAAAGAAAACAGCACATATGGGTCTGTCTATCACTATCACTGACCAGTGAGGAGTGCCAGTGAGGTACATCGAACAACCAGAGACTTTATACAGCAGGTACACGAATCCACGTGGCTTAGCATAAAAGTGCGTCACAGTTTATCTCTTCCACACTTTTCATCTCTTCCATAACCGTGGAGTTGTTGATGTCGCAAAAAGAAGTTCGAGATATCAACCGCTAGGTCCCGCAAATCAACGGATATTTCGCGCACCCCGACAGCGTGCTTTTTGCGATGGTAGCTGA